CGAGATCATGACCTGAGCCGAAACCAAGAGTTCGATGCTTCGCAGACTGAGCCACCCAGGTGTCTCTCCTGTTTTGCTTCTGATCTGCATCTGAGGATATCCGTTTTGGCTTGACCCTGGCATCTCCTCTCCCGTGTACCCAAGGGTACATACTTATTCCCCTACTCTTCTTTATTTCTCTCTTAGTGACAGCTGGACGTATCTCCCTGCCCACCCATGGGGTTCCAGACATGTCAACGTGACCACCACGACCCTAAGGACATCAAAGGAGGAACCAAGGTGACCCTTCTGTGCACCCCTGGGGTAAAAGACACCAGCGTCATGTTATGCCATCCATTTGGGTGGAAACCCCCTGAATTTCAGAGGTAGGAGGGACCTCTAGAATCCTCTGGGGTCCAATCCCTCAAGCAGAGCTTCCCTGCTGGGGCCCCTGACCTTGGCTTGCAGTGGGGGGCCTGTGGGGGTTAAGTGGGAGCTTAGACGCCAAGGTCCTGGGGCCACACGGAGGTCTCTTTCTGGCCTTTGATCTGGATCTTCTCGATTTTTATCCTCTGTCATTACATCTAAAGGAGTTTTGAAAAATAACATTATCGAGTTATGATTTATATAACAATAAAATGCACCCATTCAGAGCATACATTTCAATCAATGTGTTTTTGCCAAATGCGGACATCTGCGTAACCATCACCACAATCCACGTCTAGAACATTTTCAGCACCCCAAAATGTTCCCCTATGTCCCTTCACTGTCAATCCCTTCCCGGCCCCAGCCCCAGGCCCAGGGTACCACTGATCTGCTTTCTATGCCTAGAAACTAGACTTGTGTTTTCTAAAGTTCCATTAATATGGAATCTCTTGTGTTTGGCTTCTTTTGCTGAGGATAATGTTTTGAGGTTCATACTTGTTATGGCACGGATCAGTAGTTTAATCCTTTTTTGGGTCTGACTTTATGGAAGCTTGGTGTAAATGTCATATCTTCAAGTGTGCAGTTTGATGATTTTTAGCAAATGTACCAAGTTGTGCACCCACTGTTATAAATCCATTTTAGGATATTTCTACCTCCCCAGTAAGGTCTCCCCACACCCACTTACTGCTCATCTCCACCACCCCACTCTTGATTCCAGATGACCACTAATCTTCTTTCTATCTCTGTAGGTTTGCCTTCTCTGGACATTTCACGTACATGGAGTCAGACAGCATGTGGTCTCTTGTACATGGCTTTTTTCACTCCATATTATATCTTCGAGGTTCATCCAAGTCGTAATGTAACAATCGTTTGTTCCTTTATACTGAGGCGTAGCTTTCATTATACGAACGTACGACTGTTTGCTTATCGATCCATGAGGACAGGATTTTAATTTGATCTGTGTTACTGGGGTAAATGTACCCCCATTCCAGGAGGCATATCCTGTTTCTGGGACATCAGTGTTACACAGAGTTTTTCTCAACGGGTGAAGACAATTTTGGGAGCACTCACCGTGTGCCAGGCACTGGCTAAACCTTGGAGAACAATGAACATTGAGTTGCATATCGGGTACGTGGGGTTGGGGAGCCATAGTCTCACCTGTTTGTCTGTGCATAACACCCATGCCTTCCTGTCTACCCTCCTAGACAGCTGCCGCTTGACCCAGGGGTTGACGTTTCCCTCGAAACCTTCATTGCCTTATCGATATCGGGGTCCACAGAACCAGGGGAAGGGCCATTGTGGCAAGCCATGCTCCTCTGAGCAGTCCAGGGTCTATTTACAGAGGACAGCAAGGCCCTGGGACAGAGGAGAGAGAAGGGGATTTCCGAATTCTTCCTGAACATTCCTGACCACCCTCCCATGGAAGCAGTCTTGCAGATAAGTATTCCAACTTACCAGCCTGCAGCCTACCCGCCTGCCCTCTCTCGGTCTGGCAAGAAAGTGTAGAACCTCAGAATCCCCACGTGGGAGGGGAAATGGGTGATCAGCTTTTCTAGCCCTGTAGGTCACAAAGACCTTTAACCCATTTCATGGGGCCCCAGAGAGGGTGATCGTCACACCCCTCTTTTGGCACGGAGGTTAGAATGTTGTCAACTCCACCATCAGGAACTTCTGTAGACTTGAGTTTAATGACCTCATCTCGAGAACCCGTAGATCTGGTGTCAGAAGGAGTCAGGAGGGGACTGGGGACTCCTGGTGGCTCTTGTCAGTGCTGGCCCTTTGTCATCACATTCATAAAACTTGGCCCAGGGCTCCTTTACCTGGCAGTGGAACGGGGATGCCGGCACTGTGACTCTAGGGCCACATTCTTTCCTTCAGATCTGGACCAGTGCCCTGCGTCCCAGGTGCCCAGAGCAAGCTCTGAACACACACTGAGAGGCGCCCTGACTTTCCTGGCCCAGCTCTGCCAACCGATGAAGATAGCTTAGCTGTTACCAGAAGCAAAACCGAGAGAGGATTCTGGGTCAGGATTCGCAGGCATTTGATGGGGTTAGAAAAGTATCCAAGGCTGAGCTGTAGGGCGCCCCTATTTCCTCTCCACTGCCTCACACGTGGGTTAGTATTGTGCACTCTGGGTGAATGCAGGGCTGGAAGGATCCCAGGGCACAGAGAGAGAGAAAGAGAGAGAGGGACAGACTTCCTAGGGCTACACAGGATGGCAAAGCTGGATCAGAACTCTGGATTCCTGACTCTGTTCACTGCTTCCACTCAGCTGTTGCCGAGCTGAATTTGTCTTCCTTTGTCCTGGGGCCCTTTCTGCTGTTGTTGGGGAACAAGGAGGTGGGTGAGGGAGCCCCCCTTATCCCGAGGACATTCTGGGATGGGAGGAAGGGGAGCAGAGGGGAGTATGCCTGGGCCCAGCCTCTCTGGCCCCGGGGGTGGGGGGGCTTCTTGTTAGCAGAGACTTCTGGCCAGGCCAGGGCCTGGGGAGGGGGCCTCGGTACAGTTTTCTCCTGCGGTGTGGTTCGCTCTTTTGTCTTCCAGGATGGGTTCTGCATGGGAAAGGAGCTGGGAGCTGGGCCTTGACTGCCCATGTGTTCGCTGGGCACTGCCAGGTACGCCTGGGTAAGCACGGGGGAAGGAAGCGGTACTGAGCTTAGTTTTATGGGGGATGATCGTTCCCCCCCGCTACGAAGTCTGGGGAGCCCAGTGGCTGGAAGGCTTGCTCGCGTGGTCTTGTGGGGGTGTGCGGGACCAAATCAAGGCCACCGTGGGTGGGTTACGGCAGACCTTTCGGTACGTTCCTTCATTCAGCACAAACACGGACCAAGCACCTTCTCCGAGCTAGACCCTGGGGATCCAGAGGTGAACACCAGAGACACGGTTCCACCCCCTCAGATCTTCACACGAGAATATACTTTATCGCAGTCTCAGCGAAGGAGTGAGCTCCCCGTCCTGGGAGGTGTGCGTGTGCGTGTGTGTGTGTACTGGGGGAGGGTGGTGCAGAAGTCCCCTCCGTGGGAATGTTGTAAAGGGAATCCAAGCCTCCTGGGGACTCTGAAGGCTCTTTTTGCCCACCTGAACCCTGCCCCCTTTCTGCCCATGATGCCCTTGGCCTTGCTCCCGGCTCCTCTTAATTGCTTTTCTGTCCCCTGAGCTAGCCCCACCAGGGTGGAGAAACTACTCCTGAGTTTCTTCTAAAAGTCATTAGTGTCTAAAGCCCTTATCCCCACCCTGTCTAGGGAGACTGAGGGTCTCTGACGGTATCCCCCCTCAGATGTAGGGTTAGGTTGGGGGGTGTGGGATGCTGGGGATGGAGGCTGTGCCCTCATCCTAACCTGCTGCATTTCCCCCAGGTGGCTCTGCCTGGCCGCATCCCCAGGACTCCTGGCCCGGTCTTCTCTTTGGAGCCCTGGTGACTCTGGTCTCTGGCCACAGTGGCACAGGGAGCAGCCTCTGGTGGTTTTCTGGAACTCTGGACCATTCCCCAAAGACCTCATCTTTCCCAACTGCTAAGATGGAGCCTCCTGTGGATAAAGGACCCTCCTGGTTGGCGCTCAGCTGAGGACAGGCCCTGGCTCTGGAGGACAGCTTGAGGGAGGGGTGTGAGGGAGGCCGGCAGCCCACCGCCCCTCTGTGTCCAGCTGGACCCCGCCTGTTGGACCTTACTGTCTGTGCCTGGAGGCTACTTCTTGACCCTGTGCCGACCTGATTGCTCTCTGCAGCCCTGCTCGGGCCAGCCAGAGCTCCACCTGGGCCAAGGCCCCGCTGATGGCACCCTTACCAAGGCTGGGTCCCGAAGGACCCTCCAGGACGGGGTGGGACCACAGGGATGGGAGTCAGGGTGGAGCTGCCTAGGGGGAGGGAGGGCAGACACAGCATCGTGGTCTCCGTCGGCTGGAGTCTGTCTTGCGCCATTTGCCTTGAGCGATTCTCATTTTTGTGGGTGCTTTTTGGATGAGGCTTTTCTGTGCTTCTCCTCTGCCTGATGGTCACACAGAGGAGGCAGTCAGGGTCTGGGAGGAGCCCGGGCTTTCCCCCAGTGTGGTCAAGTTCTGGGGGACACTGGAGGGGCAGAAGGTGTGCTATCCTGAAAGGGGAGGGTTTGCGAGGGATGAGGAGGCCCAGGCCAGGGGAGCTTGCCAGAGGGAGACAGAAACTGGGCCCTGTTCCCACTGTCCAAAGGGAACAGCCTGGATCCAGCCTACTCCCAGGCTCGAGGGGTCAGGTCACCCCAGCTGGACCCCAGATCTCTGCTCCCTGTCGCATGGATCCTTGATTCTGTCCTGGGGGGAATAGGCAGGCAGGACAGGCCCCAGGCACAGGCAGCCCTCCCCTGTCACACGGCTGCACGTTTACCTCCCTGTGCCCATCTCCATTCTCCACTCAGTCCAGCCCTGCTGGGGGGCAGGGGTTTCCAGTGCTTGCCCAGGAGCAGCCCGTGGGCTTCCGTAGGCAAGTTTAAAAGCTGGGTGTTCTCTTCCTGGGCCGGGGGAGGGAGCCTGAATTAGCTTGAGCTGCCCTAACAGCAGACCACAGCCCTGGAGCGGGGCTTAAACAGCAGAAATGTGTTTTTTCATAGTTCTTGTAGCTGGAAGTTCAAGATCCAGGTTCGAGTGAGGGGTGATTTCTCCTGAGCCTCTCTCGTCGGCTTGTAGATGGTCACCTTCTCGCTGTGTCCTCACCCGGCCTTTTCTCTGTGTGCACTTGGGGAGGGAGGAGGAGGGATCGATCTGGTGTCTCTTCCTCTTTTTCTAAGGATGCCAGTCCTGTCGGAGAAGGGTCCCACTCTTAGGGCCTCGTTGAGCCTTAATTTCCTCTGTAAAAAGTCCCGTCCCCAAATACGGTCGCATTGGGGGTGATGGCTGCAACCTATGAATTTGGGGGGACGCGATCTAGTCCACACAGATGGTCACCACAAATGTGGAAAGCAGGGGCCATCTTTCCCTCACCAGCCCCACAGCCACGGGGAGAGCAAGGGAGAGCAGAGGTTTGGGAAGTAGGGACTCAGAGTGGGAGGCACCGCGCTAGGATGGTCCTGGTGCTTTAGGGACACATGGAACTGCCTGGACCAGGGCAGCGAGCAGGAGCCCCAGGAGAAGGATGTCCTGGGAAGGGCCTGAACTTTGGAGCCCGAGGGTGTGTCCCCCGCTGCACAACGTTGGGCAAGTCACCTCACCTCTGTGAGTCTGATGTCTGATCTGGAATAGGAGCCATCTGCTCGCCTGGGGGGCGCAGGGAGGAGTCCGTGAGGGTGCATGCCTGCACAATGCCAGGCTCCTGGCAGGCTGCTCACGAAACGCTCCCATCCCTTTGGGGGTTGAGATTTAGGGCTTATCTATTTTCGGTGCTCTGGAACCAACTCAGCATCTTCTGATCCAGAGGCACTTCCCCTGCCTGTTTTCTTAATATCCATCTCGAATCAGCTTGGGGAGGTGGCTGCACTTATTGCCTCCCGTGTAGCTCCAAATGCCTCCTGGGGTACCCTCTCATCAGGAGTGAGCACTTACTTACTGTGGGCCCCTTCCTGTGCTGGTTGCCTGTAGGGGGGATATAGGGGAAACTCTGGCCATGACTGAAACCTTCAGGATGGCACGGCCAAGCAATTGGAACTGGAGCATTGGAGAAGGGAGCAGAGAAGAGTCCACTGAGGCACAGGTTCTGAGTGCTTGGGGGTGGGAGTAAGGTCCCAGAATGACCTGGACAGGCTTCCCAGCAAGGTTGAACCAACCAGGGCCTTGAAGGATGAGAAAGATGTGGCTTAGCTGACAGCTTCCAGGTCCCTGGAAGAGAGTCCCCAAGTAAGTCCTAGGAGGTGTCATTGCTCTTAAAAAAAAAAAAAAGTGAGTTCGAATTTAACCAGTTTCTAAAATGCAGGACTTATCAGAGCCTTTAAAGTGCCAATGGGAATTGTGAGTACTCAAGGACAGAGAGGATTAAGTGTTCTCCACTTTTATGGCAACAGAGCCCTTTTCTTATGCGGCATCATTTAGAACTGAGGGGGCCATCGGGTGGGGCTTCTGTGGAGAAACCACAGCGGGGATAGGAGATGACACAGCCCTACACACTCAGGGGCTTTGTAGCAGGGGCTGGAAAGGCAGCAGACCAGGAGGGGCCGGGGAGTTGGAACTCGGTTCCAGGAGTCAGGTGAGCTCTATGCAGTTTTGGTGTGGCGGGAGGCAGGCCAGTGGTCGGAGTGGCCGGAAGCCTGGCACGTGGTGGAGGAGATGTCCACGGGACATGGTACCTCTGGACTTGAGGCCACTGGGGCATCAACCCTTTTGTGGGAAGATGCTGGTGTGTGTGCGTGTGTGTGCGTGCGTGCCTGAGTGTGACAGGATCCAGCCTTCTGGGAAGGGGCTGACCAGAACCAGGCGGGGGTTTCCGGCCAGGACCAGCAGGGTCTATTTTTAGGGGAACTGAAGAAGTGTTTAGGGGGAGGGCCCTTGAAGCCCACTGCCGAGAAATCAGGAAGGAAAAACACTCTGAGGCGGGCTCCACGGGATAGGCTTGATTCTGGTGGGGCTGAGGAGCGTAGAGGCGGACCCCCTGCCCTGGTCAGGCCCCGCCCCCTGGCTGGTGGGGACGCGAGGCCTCCGGAGCTGCCGCTGAGGAGCCCGGGCAGTGTTGCATGGTGTGATTAACCTACTAACTCAGGGCTCGGCCGGGACGCTGTGGCGTGTGACGAGGTGCCTGGCCTTACGCCAACCAACTAACCCACTAACCAGGCCCGAGCATGCCCTACTAACCCCTTGCAGCTAGACCTTACTAACCTTGCAGCTCGTGGGCCTTTCAAGGGGCTGGGACGTGGGGGCAAACGGTGCTCCAGAAGGCCCTGCCCGTGGCTTGGGGTCTCTGTGCAGACCCACATTCCAGGACAGGGCACGCAAGCAGGACTCGCCAACTCTGCCACTTCCTGCTAAGCGTTTTGAGCAAGTCCCCTAACCTCTCTGAACCCGTTTCCTCAGCAGCAGAGCGGGACTATGCTCCTCACCTCACAGGCTGCAGTGAGGATTCCCATGAATATAAAGTTCTTGACACATGGCAGATACTTAAAAAAAAAAAAAAAAAAAAAAGGGCGAGGGTACGGGTGGGAAGCCCAGAAAACCTGGTTGATCACGTCCCCTGCCTCGGCCCTAGTCCCTCTGGGTGTTCTGCACACAGACCCTTCTGCCTGGGGCCAGACACTGGCTTTGAACCCTGTCTCTTCCCCCACATTCTTCCTCGTTCCAAGCTTTCTTTTCCGTAGGCAGCTATTTTGTTCGATTACTAACCTCTCTAACCTGGGGCTGCCTCAACTGCACCCCGCCCATCCCTTAACCAACTAATGGACCTGTGTGTGTTCTTCCTTTTCTCCTAGTGACTCCTGTGTGTGTCCGCTGAGGTGCCCCCGTCCGCTGGTGCTGTGCTCTGACTTACTAACCCAGCCCCTACTAACCTCGTTTTCTCTTCTTACTAACCCCAGCCCTGCCGAGCTCTGGGCACCCCTCCTTTTGGCAAGCAGAGTTCCTGGGGGCTGGTCCTGCAGACAGATGCCCCACTTTGCTGCCCCGATTGGCTGTGAGTTCAGAGTCCACTGGCGGCCAGGTCTAAGGCAGGGGACGGCCCTATGAACCACACCAGTGGCCCAGAGGAGGAGGCGGTCATGCGGATGTAGGAGGCCGGCCTCCGAGCCCGAGCATCTCCCCTCTGTGCGGGAGTCTGGCGGCCACTGGGAGTGGGCGGGACCAGGGAGACCTCTGGGGTGTGAGTGTGGAGGCCCGTGGGTCTAGTGCATGGAACACTGGGCTCTTCCCAGCCAAGGGGCAGAGAGAAGGGGCCTGTGTGTCCTTCTTTGGAGGGAAACGAGGCTGGAATTGACTCCATCGGAGAGTGGCAGGTAGAGGCATGTCCTACACAAGAAGTCAAAGGGGGCGTGCCCCGCCCCGGAAGTCAGCGAAGGGGGGCGTGGCCCACGCCAGAAGTCAGTAAGAGGGTTCCCTGCATAGGAAGTCAACGAAAGGGATCTTTGCCTCACTGGGAATCACTGAGTGGAGCATTTAGTACAGGAAGTCGGCCAGAGGGGCATTTCTTACACCGGAAGTCAGAAGTCAGTAAGAGAGGGGTTTCTCACCCTATCACTAGGCATGAGAAGGAAAGGCCAAGAGATCAGTGAGAAGGGCCCTTCCTACAACAGCAGTTGGCTAGAGGGGCCCTTCCCTTCCCTGAAGCTGGTACAGCCGAGTGCCCCATACGGGAAGGAAATATGAGCTATTTTTTCACACCGGAAATCATCGAGAAGTGCTGTCCACATCAAGAAGCTTGGGAAAGCAGGGAAGAAAACAGACCTACCCTGTGTTCAGGGGTTCGCAGGGGGAGGAAGTAGGAAGACATGAACCCCAGGGCCCCACTGGGTCCTGCAGTCCCTCAGACCAGCCAGAAATTCATCCCCGGCTCCCTGTCCTGTTTTCCACCCATGGCCCTGCCCCAGCTTGCCTTCCCCAGAGCCCGCCAGCCGCTAAGCCAGGGCCACACCTGGGGGTGATTTTATGCCTCACCTCCAGTAGGCACCTTGGTCTGT